AAAATTAGCATAATAGATATAGAATACTGTAATAGACTGTAATAAACTGTAATAAACTGTAATAAACTGTAATAGACTGTAATAGACTGTAATAGACTGTAATAGACAAATAGATAATAGTGATAAACATGAATAAATTTAAAAAGATTTGTACAAGCGAAGAAGTTCATTTATTATTAAAATGAAAGTCAGCAGTGCATATCAAAAAGATCTAATGCAGAAACTAGCACTAGTGCAAAAATTAATTTCGTAAAAAATCATTTGTCATGTTTTTTCGCTAAAAAAAATTACAAAAATATAAATAACAGATCAAATAACATATGTATGTATATACTTACAGTCTCTCTTGATCTTGATATGACGTTAATAACGTTCTTTTGAATTCTTTTTATGATAGAATCTTTTGTTAAACTAATTAGATTTTGTTAAACTAATTAGAATACATCCGATTAAAAACTTATCTTCTAACTAATAATGTTTATCTAACTAATAATGTTTAAGTCGTTACGCAGAAAAGATTAACAGATCTAAAATATAAAACAAAAAAACCTAATTTGAAATTACTCGAATGAGAGTGTAGGCGTTCACTCTTTGTAAATAATTGCAAATTGCAAATAATTGCAAATAATGCCATGCTTTTAATGTTATCTTCTCTCAAGTTGGTTGGCCAATGCAATTTAAATTATCATGTGCAAAAAGGCCCGTGCAAGGAAAAGTATGTATATAAAATAAAATAAATTTTAAAATGTTACTCCCCATTTTCCTGCATGCGTCTTATGATAATTCTTGTGCTATCAAGTTACCACAAAAGTATTCATTAGCCCACGGGGAACCAGTCACCATTCGTCAATGTGTCTGATCGGCCTGACTATTTTGAGTGACGATCTCAGATTAAACATCTATATTATTTACCCTTATGCATATTACTACTATATTATACCTAATTCATAACATTTCATAACATTTCATAACATTTCATAGCATTTCATAGCATTTCATAACATTTCATATAACACTTCATAACATTTCATAACATTTCATATAACATTTCATAACATGCTCAGTTTATAGCAATATCCTGTTATCAATACTTATTGTAATAATTGATACTTATCCAAAGAATTGGCTCGGGAAATGCGTCTATATGCTCTCTTGATTATTTTTGTAACATATTTCTTTTTATTTTTTATTTATTTTTTTTTTTTTTTGAATTGCTGGGAAAAAATAATTCATATAAACGAAAATCTCTCTTATTTAGGTTTCCAGTGCCGATCTTAAAATTTATTTGTCCTGGTTGGTTCAATCCTATTCCCGAATTCTGGTCATCCGGTTTAAAAAAATATTATTGATAAACTTTACCCAATTTTCACTGCATATATTCGTCCGCATCTTTTTTTTTTACTGTAAAAAAAAAAATTATTCAGAGGCTATTTTTGTGTTTGTACACTATCTAAACTATCATTTGTGTAATTAAAAAAAAAAAAGGTGACCTTACGTAAGTTTAGAAGACAAGAATGTTTTGATAGACATGATTTCGTCAAATTAAGATAAATATCGACAGTAATCCGCCACGGAAATGGTTTCATCTCATTTTTATCACAATATTCACAAAATATTTTATTATAAACTACGTTCGATTTAATTATGACGTCTTCTAACCCTTCTAAGCGTCCACGCTTATCTGAAGTGGCCCAAAGTGACTCTCATATAGAAGATTTACAACTTCATTCTCAACAATTTCAACTAAATAACTTACAAAATAATATTCCAAAACAATTATATCAACACAATCCGGTTATTGTTAATTTCTCCTCTCCTCAACAACAACAATCCTTCCCAACTTCTTCAGATAATATGGATCCTTTATTACAGTCTTCTGACCCTGATAATAAACATGAAGAGTCTTTGAATAAAGAAGATTTACAACGACTTGAACAAGTCATCGATTTAATGTTTCCAGAAAAATCTGCTGCTGCAAAAGAAGCTGCTACAAAACTTTTAAATTCTTCAACCATTCAAAGCCAGTCTTCTTCTACAAGAGATAATAACACAACATCTGTTGTTCTTGACTTTCCGATCCTTTCTGAGCAAGTTACTGAAACAGAACAGATAATTTCTCCGTTGGGTTATCTGCTAAACCATACCTTTCCTAATTCTATTGTTGAATTAGTTACCAAACTTAACAAGATGTCTATAAATCCTGCAAGTTTGGATTTTCTAAATCCAAATTCTAATCCTTCATTCCCTCCTACGAATAACCCACCTTTTACTGACCCCTCTGCTAAATCTCCAGGCCCTCCAACAAATGAACTATGTAAAAAATTAATAAACGAGTATTTTACCAAATTTAATGTTGTCATTCCTATCCTTAATCGTAGAAAATTCATGAGTCATTCTGGTGATAAAACAAAACATTCAGAATTGCTTGTCAACGCAACTTTGGCTGTTGCTGCGGCAAGATATTCTGATGATCCTTCAATTCGAAAAACTCCCAATAAACCAGGCGGTGTGTTTTTCGACTCTGCAAAGGTACGCGATATATTTCGATATTTTTTTTGTTTGTTTTTATTTGTTCACGTGATAAATGACGTGTTTCTCTATTTTTCATAAATTTAGAGGTTATTGGATATGGTGTACGATACACCAAAGTTAGAAACTGTTCAAGCATTAATTCTCTTAACACATGCAGAGGTCAGCGTGTCACGTCTTAATAGTGCGTCCATGTTTCTTGGCATGGCTGGTACGTGTTAATATTCTCGTTAATATCGTTAATATCGTTAATGTTAATATCGTTAATATCATTAATATCATTAATTTCGTTAATATTGTTAATTTTATATACTAATTTTTTTTAATTATCATTTGATTTCTAATTTAATTTCTAGTTCAAATGGCCCATGCTTTACATCTTGAACGTGATGATACTTCTTTACCTTTAGAAGAAGATGAAGAGAGACGAAGAGTGTTTTATTGTATTTATTGTTGTGAGAGGTTTTTATTTTTTTATTTTTTTTTATTGATCAATTTCTAATTTTGTGTTTGTGTTAATAATAATATTATAATAATAACATTATATTGTAATATTCAGATGGGCATCTTTCTCATTGGGCAAACCTTCTTGCACTGAAGATACAAACATTAATGTTCCTTTACCTACAATGATGTCATTCAACATTTTAACAAGGAGCTTTTTCATAGCATGGATAAAGTTATCACGCATACTCGGTCAAATTTGGAAATTTGGTTATTCTTCTCAACCAAAAGCATTTCGTGCAAATTGGTTGGATCATGCAACTGATCAAAAAAGTGTGTTAAGACAAATACGTTCGGCATTAGCAAAATGGCTAAAAGAATTACCTGATGAATTACAATACCAATATTTACCTAATAATGACCAACAAAGTCACATACAATTAACTACTTTTTCTGCTTTTGCAGGTAATCTATTAATACTTCTTTATGTCTTTAAATGTCTTTATTTATTTTATATTTATATTTGTTAATTTATTTTATATTTATATTTGTTAATTTATTTTATATTTATATTTGTTAATTTATTTTATATTTATATTTGTTAATTCATTTTTCTTAGGATATATCAATATTCTTTTCCATACTTGTATAATCTTACTTCATCAACCTTATTTATCCCAAGCATATCGTGATCCAAAAATTGAAACGCGTAAGCATGGTCCAAATGGTCCAATTAAAACATGTCTTACCGCGGCATTAACAATCACCGACATTGCTAAAACAACTCAGAAATTTAACAAAGAAGCTTTTTGCACCTTTCAATATCCTATTTATGGTTTATTGCAATCAACTATACTAGAATTGGACATTGCAAATGGTAATCGTGGGTATGAATCAGGTGCTAGAAGATCCATAAATGATTCGATTGAAGAATTAAGATTTGCTGCTGAAAATTCTAAATTTACTTCTCTTCAAGAAATGGTTAAAGAATTGGAAGGTGTAATGATGATAGCTAATGGAAAATCTTCTGATATCGTAATTCCATTTCCTATTGTTTTACAAATTTTGGAATCTCGAAACAGTTGTGGTCTTGGTCTACCCAATCCCAATAATCCCAATAATAATAATAATTTCGTTAATAATGGATTTGCTAAAAATTTTGGTTTATCAAAATCCTCATTTAATTACAAGTCTGTATCATCAAACTTATCTGATGATGTTTCAAAAATGGTTGATCCGCCAAAAGTTGAATTTACTTCAACTGAGCAAACACCTGAACAACCGGTTGTTAATAGCTCGCCAACAGTAACATTATTACCTGAAACTAATAGTTCTCCATCAGCAACTTTACTGAATGAAAAGTTAACACCTACGTCCTTATCATCACCAATAAACTATCACCAACAACATCCTCCCACGATACATCAACAACAAACAAATCCTGATGTGTATATGATGTCACCTGATTATCAAAATCAACCTTCATTACAATTTAATCAACCTCAATCTAACATTGGTCATCATATATTATCTAATTCAACTGCACCATGGGATCAACCTCCATTCTTTATGGAAAACGAATTATATGGTTTTGTGAACCCTCATAATTACAGTTTAATCGATGATTTGACGGGATTATATTCAACAATTATGAAAGATGTTGATGGAAACAATTCTGCCACACTGTAACAATAATTCTGTAACAATCAATAATGGTGATACAATATTATAAATTATTGGTCAATTTTTTTTAATGTAGTTTTTTATGTTTACTAAAAATTCTATTACATAAGCTACTTAATCCCACTTTTAGATTAAATTTATGTTTTGAGATTTCATATTAAGATTCGAAAAAACCACCTTTAAAAAAAAAAAAATAGCACATATTTATTCCATTTTGTTTTACTAATATTTAAATTTTGGTAAATTTGGTGTCATGCTATCTGTAAAATTATATTATGGTGTAATATTATGTAAAAAAAAAAAAACTTATTTATATGATTCAAAATTTAAATTTAATACTATCGCTATATATATTTTTAAAAAAAATGGGGTAAATATATTTATTGTAGATAATTTGCTATATGTATATATGTATAAAGATTTTGTTACGTATTAATAATATATATACGGTTTTTTTTAAATATATATTGTTAATTATTTAAGCGTTTAATAAAATATATGAATAATTTGTTTATTACATAATATATATTATATATATTTAGATTGTATCACTACGTATTACGTACGTACGTACGTATTAAAGTATTACGGCTGATCAGAATAATAATAATACAGTGCAAGAACATCTAAACCAAATGTTTTTTGTGCTTTATAAGTTTTGGGACTTAAAGTTAAGTACTACATTCACCCCATACACCTTTTAAATTTCTGGGTTGTTGGATCACACTCGACAACAAACATTTTCAACAAACACAACTTGTCATTAGTGAATCTTTTACATCTTATTAAAATTGCTACGTAGAACCAATAAGTACACACGTTAGAAAATTCATATTCGATGTTACTTTATTGGTAACGTATTATTGAGTTTGCTAGTTAACATTCATTACTTAGCTACGGTAACTCAATATTTGATATAGTAATCAAGTACTCTGGTCACAATCTGTTATAAATCTTATCCCGAGTCCGATATCAAGCTAACCCACAGGTATTAGGTAAATTTTCAACTTTGAAAAATTTCCGAGGCAACATAAATTCCGTATCTGTAACAAATCGCATTTCTTGACTCTGGTTCCATGCTGACAACTTCAATAAGGTCATAGAAGTCCTCTAAGCCAAAATATAACTCTATTACGTATGTATAATGTTAATTATATTTCCTGAACTGGTAAAACAAAATAACTATTATTATGGTCTTAGATGAGTTAATGGTGAAATATCATAAATAATTATCCGGAGCGTAGCGATTTTATGTCCGCACCTATTTTTAGATAGATGATCATCAATTTATCAACTATATCAGCGGGTCGGTTAAAGCGGAGCGAGGTATAGAGTTACCTTTTTGATGCATTTAAGGTTAGCGGGTTATATAGATATCAAGAATACAACATATGCAGTATGTAGATCATATATTGAATTCGCTCCGCTTTAACCGACCCCTATATCAGCCAATATTTTTATTTTTATTTTTAACTACGCCCGGGATATCTAACCGCATCTGTTTTCCTAGTTTTACTGTATAACGGTAGTATAACGGCAAAGTTATTAGAATCTAATAAACGTAGCTTGGCTTAATAATTTGATTGGTCTTAAATTAAGAAATATGCAGAAATATGTCGTGTCACCTTGACTCAAAAGTTTGATTGGGTATTACTAAGACCAATTGAATTATACGTATTGGTATGTGAATTAAGTTGGGACGAGTAAAATAAAAATAATAACAAAATATTACTCATCAGATAATAGACCCCCTGAGCTAATTAATAAGCGAGACAAATATAAACAAATATATATGTCGTGCGTCAGATGGTATATTTACGAGGTCGCACCAGATTTAAATTAGAGTTAGTACCTAAAATTAAATATGGCCTCAAGCACCTAAAGTAGCAAGTAGCACTATCATATCTTTTAAACTATGTATGTATGTATGTACGTACGTACGTACGTATTTATTTCTTAATCTGTAATTATCTGGAGTGTAGCGGAGAAAAATATTAAGAGACCAGATTTTGTGTGTGTGTTTATGTTCGCGCCTATTTTTAGATAGATGATCATCAATTTATCAATTATATCAACCAATATACAGTAGGTGACGCCAAGAGAAAACCAGGAATTCTAAAATAGATTTCTATCCACAGCGAAAGTTGCGAGGTTTTTTAATCGATTCGATGATGATCAACACATGATTAAATAATGTTATTCGTCATTGAATCGATTAAAAAACCCCGCAATTTCGGGATTTATTAATTTTCCCCACCAGTTCCCCTATTGGACGAAGAGAATTCCTGCTTTTTATTAGACGAAATTGACTTATAAATTTTTATTTAATAACAGAAGTATCGTTGAATGTATACTATACTAAAATTTTGCAAGGTAATTTTTTTTGTTAGAACATGAAAGAAGTTATCGGCGATTTTTGAAAATTTATGTTACACCTGATCTTATGATTTTATTGGTAACGAAAAGTGGCGTAGTCTAACTAGGTGGGGTATCTTGTAATGCAGTAATGGATAGATATAGGGTGCTCTCAAGCATCTCTCTCGGTGTAATTAGCTAGCTATAGAGATCACTACAGTCTGGGAATATACCAAATTTGGTCATCGATGATCTTACCTTATTTGGTAAATGATCATCAGTCGGATGAT